AAACATCAAACACCAAAGAAGGGCCATCACTCTTCCATTTGAGAGTTTTTTTTCTTTTTTCCTAAGGGCAAATGAGATATTTTCATATGAAGATTTCTGAGTTCTCAGTGTGTTAAATTACCAGTCCACTCTTCTGCACCTACTAACTCACTAAGAGTATTCCAGTTTTCAAACTCTAGATTTGTCACTCTTATTCTTATTCAAAAGAAAGTCAGTCTCTGGCTTTCAGATGAGCCTTAACTCAGTATATGAAAGGAGAGATCCTGCAAGCTTTACTGTACCAGAGTGCTGATCATTATTAGAAAGCTTGTCAGGTTTCTTGCAACTGTGAGCTCACACTGTAACTGTCAGTGGTACTCACAGGATTTCACCCACCACATTTTAACCTTTGATGATTTTTCCATGTTTATTTTTTTTCCTGTAATCCCCTTCATCAAAAAAAGAAAATACACTTTTACCCCTCCCCTTTATCTTTTTTTTGTTTGTTTGTTTCACATACAAAACCGAAACCACACTGGCAATGGCAAGACGTACCACACATTGAGACTCTTACTTGGCTGCACGATGGCTGCAGAGGACAAAACTGAATTAGTTCAATGGGACCAATGGCTGCCTCACATACTAATTTTGGTTCTTTTCAATCCATCCTTTTCCACTGATGGCTACTGTTCATCTAAGCACTCTCCTTTTTCTACTCATAGATTAAAAAAAAGTAAATAAATGCAGCGACGACATCAGCTGGTTAAGAGAGTGCAGGTTGCTGCAATTCCCTGTGTTCTCATCTCCAGACACACGTAGCCATTGGCAGGAGCCCGGGGGCTGCGTGGTCCCAACGTGCCAGTGCTTGTCCCACCACAGCTCGTCCTGCTCTTGCGCCTTCCCCATGGCTGAAATAGGTGCCATTAGGGACCCCGGCCAACTGTTAACATCGCTTGATCAAAACCTATGGGGAAATAACTTTAGTTAGGAAAAACTATTAGGAAAAACTATTTTCAAAGTTCCGTAGTCCAAAATCTGGCTTCGGATGTGGCATTGGATACACCACTACTCAGGCTACTGAAGACCTTTTCCTCTCCTCCCCAAACCACCCCCCCTCCTCTTTTTACTGCATTTCAATGAAGGGCAAGGGGTAAACTGAGCAATCTCACTGCAAGTTTTGCAAAAGACTAATCTGTAAAAGTTAGGGGACAGTGAAATAAAAGGAGAAAGGTGGAGATCAAAATAAATATACAAGAAAGTGACTAAAATAACACAATACGATTCACACACACAAAAACATTTAAGGGAGACAGTGAGCTTTCTTAAAAGTAGGCCTGTTTTGCCTTTAAATAAATGACTACAGTGTAATAAGAAAGTGCAGCTTTATGTGAACATAGAGAATGATACTATATTTCTTCTATGTAACATATTTGCACAAGGGCAATCCAAAACAACCACCAAATTAGGAAACATTGGGAGGGAATAAACACCTCTCTGCCCTCCAACTCCCCACCAAAACCAAACAAACACGAAACCTTCCCCACACAATCTTCTTCTCTCCCTCACCTCCTCTCCAGTGTAAACACATTCCTGAAGTGCCAACCTCAGCATTTTTAACTCCTTCAGGAAGGAGATGTGCTCTTCTAGGAAGGGGGTGCTTCAACCTAACTATGGACCGACTCCTAAGAATGGGGATTAGGGGAGGGGACCTTAAACACCACAACCCATCCATCAGCCACGTTCATAAAACGCTTTTGTTCCAAGTTCATGCTTAGCGACTCAAGGTCAAAACTGATGTTGGAAAATGCAAACTTTAAGTCAACCCAGGTTTTCACCCCTCTTGTCTTCTTGACCTTAAACACAAACAAGAAACTCTCAAAAATAGACTTTTGCCACCAAGTCTCTTTAAATAAAAATACATAAAAAGGGAACATAATCAACTTTTAAATGACTGCAGATTAGGTTTTGAAATATGCCAATAAAGGCAGAAATTAGAAAACAAAATCAGAATAAATGCACTTAAGAATCAGCGGTTTGGTTTTCTTATAATTTGGACAATTAAAGTCAATTAGTTGTTTTCATCTGTTCTTATCTACTCACAAGATATGTCACTGAACACTCCAAAGGGAAACTAACCGCTTTAAACAACTTTTTCCTCTATAGAAAGAGAGAAAGAAAGAAAAAAAAAGAACATATGTTTATATGTCTATTAGCCTTTGACTTTGAGAAATCCTGGGTCAGATGTGGGTAGCCTAAATGAAAAAGAAAAAAGTAACTATAGTGAATATAAAAGCAAGGCTTTCATAGTGGCAGCAAAAAAAGGATGTATTCTGCAGGCTGCAACTAGTCTCCCTAGGTATGCAACAAGAAAAAAAAAATCATCATGCTTTTCAGTGAACCCTGTTCTTGCAAGATTCCACAGCAGAAAGCAATCGAGGTGCCAAAAAACTGAAAATTATGAGGCTATCCAATGCAAATTTCCCAGAGGTACTGTGACAAAGTCAATTTAAATATGCTGTGGAAAAGGCCTGCAAAAGATGAGAACTCTGACACAGAACTGTGAGCTAGGATTTCAATCTCTTAACTTTAGGATGATCTGGTAGTCTTTTGAAACCTCATGTCAAAACTTTTTAAGGCTTTATCCCAAGAATGTACATGTAACGTCTTCCACGTCAGGTTGGAGTCCCCTCTGAGAGCTTTAAATATGATTCTATAAAATGCCACTTTGGCTTCCTCCATATGAATTTGAATAGTTTAACTAGAGTTTATGAACTTTCCTTGGAAAGAAAAGTATAATAATAGCTTGTCATCTATGTAAGTAATAGGTTACATAAAATACAAGATAATGCTGGAATCTAACAAAATATTTTTAAAGCAAGTGAGTTTTCTCCAATAGCTTTTATTTAGCTTTTAAATCACAAGTTTCATTTAAAGCACCATCACGTGGAGAAAGCGCTGCCAATTAATTTAGCCTAAAAGGATGGTTACTCAGGGTAGGCACAGGGAAATGCGTTAATTACCACCAAGTCAGCATACCGAAGGTCTACATTATCAAATACTGCTCTAGATGACAAGAAGGATGTTCCCTGTGTTTCTCTTTGGGGTTCACTTGCTTGTCCGAAGTACTATGAAGAACAGAACTGTGTGACATCCTTCTAACCAGCTTAAAAAAGCTCCCAGAGACTAGCAAAAAAAGGGGCATTGTATTAACATAACCTAGATCCTTAGACAGTTTCCAAGAAACTGGCCAAGAACTTCTGTCAGAATTTTGTAAGGGAAGCTGATTTCGAAATTCTTAAGCATTCAGAAGGGTTGTTCGAGACTCTTTGTGTAAACGCTGCATATTTTTCACTCTGTTAAGAGATACTGTCAGAAATGTTTCTTAAGACAAGACCCTGGAAATAGTCTACACTTTTGATCTGATATCATCAGTTGATTGCATTGTTTTCCAACAGAAATGGTAAATATTGTTGTACACAAGTAGTAAATATTTTAGTTGAGACCATTAAAGTTCTTCCAAGGAAACTTTGCAAGATCAGATATCCTCAGATAAATAATTATGTGATCCCTGGCTGCCAACTCTGTTACCTAGTTAACCAATACCCTCCTTTATCTATCCTTTTTCAGATAAATTGCTAAAACATTTACCTAAGGCTACAGAACTTTCCTGGTCAGGTGTCCATCTTTGGTGCAGTATCTCTCTGACAACCTTTCAATAAGAGAGAAGCAGCAGAATGCTGAGAAGTCTCAGCATTCCTGTTTACAGAGCTTTGACTTATCTACCAATAAATCCAGTTCTGGGCTTCCAGTGTGAGAAAGACATGGGCATCCCAGAGCAAGTCCGGCAAAGGGCCACAGAGATGATTATGATATTGGGGAATCTGACATACAAGGGGAGACAGAGGGAGCTGGGACTGTTTAGCCTGGAGAAGAGAAGGCTCAGGGGAGATCTTATCAATGCACAGGAATGATAGGGGGAAGAAGACAGAGCCAGACTCTGCTTAGTGACACTCAGTGCCAGGACATAAGGGAAGGCATACAGGCAAATAAATACATGAAATTCCATTTAAACATAAGTTATACCTATTTTTGCTGCAAGGCTGGTAAAACACTGGAGCAGGCTGCACAGAGGATCTGTGGAGGCTCCATTCTCTGAGATATTCAAAGCTTGACTGGACCTGGCCCTGAACAACCTGCTCTAGGAGACCCTGCTACAAACAAGATGGTTGAACTAGATACTCTTCAGAGGTCCCTTCCCACGAGAGCAACTACCCTTTCAGTTACAGAGTTCTTGACACACGATCTCCATCGAGCAGCCTCAAAAACTTTTTCTCAGAAAGTTTTATTCCATCAAAAGCCTACCAGTTGTACCAGTCAATGACTTCTTTGCACGCACAAAGCCAGATTACATATCCTCCATCCTACTGCTTGCCAGCTACATCTCTTTTCAGAACGCAGCAAGTTTCAGAATTCGTCTGTAGGGTTTTTTTAACAGTAACAAAAAGATTATTAAGGAAAAAAGCTACCATATTTTGTGCGTAGGGAAAAGGGGAAGGGAGAGGAAAACATCTCTGTTAGAGCAGCAGGGTCAGAACAACATGTCACTAGAAGCACTCCCTCCCCATACTGTACACCATGCTTCTCAGAGAAGACATCACGAATTACAAAACGAAAGCCAAATGCTGCAATGTGTGGGAGCATGCAAGATAATAAGTATTACAGATGGTTTTGGTCTCCATTACCATCAAGGAGACACAATGTCTCCCTAATAGATATGGAAGAAACAGAGGCTTTTGTAAAACAAGAACTAAAAAAAAAAACAGCAAGAACCTTTTTTTTTTTTTTTTCTTTGGTGGTAGTCTTCCCCTCAGGCAAACTCTCAAAGGATTTCTTACTAGCTGCTCTTCCTCTAGACCTCAAGAAGGTCCATAACTATTGTGAAACCTTGGCTTCTTCAACACAAACTTCTTCAAGCCACACTTAAATAAGCTGCCATCTTCTTGCTCTTCTCAAGTGTGTTATGACCAGATTCTCCTGGGGCAAACGGAGGCATGTTGCTTGGCTAAGTTTGTGCTGTGGCCACGCTGAACCAATGCTCTCTCATATTTTAAGGAAACCTGTGATCATAGCAGGCCAGCTCTGCAGTTAGCGCTTCCTTCAGGATCAGCAAGAGCAGCCTCCCTCCTCCCCACACCCTGGTTGTCTCACTAAACCACAGCCTTGCGCGCCACGAGAGCACCAGCTTCATGTCCACCTCGTCTTCCCCATCTCCACTGCCTCTCCTGAGCACAAGGCTTATGATTACAGAGAACGATAATCCTGCATATTATGTATTCTAATTATTATATAATCATAACTGCGACTGCAATTACAAAATGGATTATTATAATGTATTTACAAACCATCGCCAGGATCACTGCTTTCCTCCAGAGGAGGAGGAGGAGACTGGCTGGTGCTTGGGGTAAACCCGACATGATGCCGCGCGGGATACTGGCCAGCATGGTGGCAGGGCTGCCTTTATGCCTGTGTTGCACAGGCCACACCAGGCACAGCTCGACAGGGTCAGGGCCCCCAGGAATGCTGCCAGTGTCGGGAATAGCATCGGGGGTCACGTTCCTGCAGGTGGCCAAACAGGCCGGTCCTCACTCCCCGATATGAGGGTAAAGCCCAGGGACGCAGGAGGCTCTCAAGAGGGGCTGCTATACCAGTTTCCTCTATCTTGTCTTTCTTCAGGCTCCTGCGCACATCTTTCACTAAACCTTTCCATTTTATCACTCTATTTCTCACCCTACCTCTTCCCCTATGGAGTATATTCATCCTCGCAAACCTCCTTTCCACGATAAATATCACGTTTACAGCTCAGATTTTATATATACACATGCTGTAAGTAGTAACCTAGCAGGAGGAAGCATACAGTAGCAGCAAACTACTTTAATTTTGTTGGAATGAGGAAGTGATTTAATGTAAAGAACAAAATTTAAAAAACCTGTGTCTGAACTAACACACCAAGGCATGTTATGAACATTACTGTATTTTAATTGTCTTTCTCCTTGTGATAAACATAGAAGAAACTTGTTAAATCTATTCTCCTACTTAGAATTACAGAAGGTTAAAATTTCTAGATATCCTGTGTTTTTTCCTACCTTAAAAAATAGAGCTTTTAACATTCCAACATTACGAATCAAAATGGAAAAAAAATGACTATAACAATAATGCAATAAAGTACCTGTTAATATATATTAACTATATATTATGTCAACCTTGCAGTTTCTACTTATTTCCAGAAACTACTGGAAGACTTAGACTTCTGTAAAGAAACATTTTTGATATAAAATGTATATATTGGCAGAAGAAAACATTGAAAAATGAAAGTATTTTCATTGCAACATGTCTAGAACAAGTTGGGGAAAAAAAATCCTGCTATATAGTCAAACTGTGCAGTTCCTGTATTCCTTCTGTGTTAAAAATTAAGTATCACGGCTTAAAAAAAAGAGAGAGAGAGAGAGAGAGAGAGAAAAAAAAAAAGGAATATATTTTGCATACATTTTGTAAGAGGTTGTTCCTGTTTCCTGGTAGTTGGCTTCTCTTTTCTAATTCAAAACATCCTAAGCATTTCTAAGGAGCACGTGGCTAACAATATTTTGAGGTTTTATTTTTAACATCTAAAGATATTCCATTAACCAAACATCACTTGGTTTTTCAAGGCATTCAAACAAGTTCATCTATATATTGAATAGGAAGGGAAAGCCAACACCATTCACTTGGGAGCTCCTTCCTCCAATACAACAGGAACAAAAGGTGCCATCAGAGATAACCTACAAAGCAGTTCTCTCAAATCCTGTGGAGCTTCCTATAAGTGAACTCCATCTGTTGCCAAAAGCCCAAACTAGCCAGAGTAGAAAACAGAAGACAGATGTCAGATTGTCCGGAGAAAGACTAAGCTTTTTTTCTTATTCAAGTAAACTTTTGAGAAAACTTACCAATGCAAGAACACCTAAGCCTACAATAATACAGTTAAACCAGTGAGTGGTAATATTTATCCCACCACTTAGAAGTTGATGAGAGCTCTTCTTTAGTCTGCATTTTGATTATAAAAAGGAGGGGGAAAGAAAGGTGGGAATCTAAGCCGAAAAAAGAGCATTCAAGTACAACAGATTGCCATTCAAAATATTCTGGAGAAGTCTCTACTTTTTACTTTCTACTTGACAATTCAAGAACAGGAAATAAAAAGATCACATTGTCACCATTTCTCTATATACTTGTAACCTCGATTTCACATATTTTCATCTCTTGGAAAAAAAAAAAAAACAGTGGTTCAATTCTTCAGCTATAGTAAGCATCTATAGCTCTAATTTATTTAAGACATCTATGATAGATCCTACTTTTTAGAGATTATGATCAAGTAAATTAAAAAAAAAATCTAAACTCTTAAATGAATCATAATTTGCTTAGTTAGATTCCAGTTAGCCCAGACCTAACTGCAGAGAAAAAAGTAAGATAAGCATATCTGATCAAGTTAACATATCTGCCAGTTCTCAAGACAGTAATTTTGAGATTAAAACAGACTTACTGCTGACATGTAGAATAGGAAAACTTAACCTACCAAGATGCTTAAAAGTGTTTTAAGTTCAAAAGTTGTAAACCTGAGTCACAGACTTAAATTAAAATGAATTCCTTAAGAGTTTTACACTTCACCTAATACTTAGATACTCTCATTTCTATCACTGCAATCAGTGCAAATGCTTTTGGTCTCAGTTTACACTATTATAGCAAAGTTCATTCTCTCTTCTCATTCATTCATAGCAAGGACTTGGATGCATTTTCACAAATAAGCAAGACCCAATTACGAACTTTTGTGAAAGCCTGAAAGGAGAAAAAAAAAGACAAACAAAAATCTATTTGTTCTCACCAAGATCTTTGCAAACTCTGTACTATAGCAGTTTGCTGAGCCCCAAAGCTTGAAGCAGAGAACAGAGACTCAGACTTCAGAAAAGATCAACTTCTGCAATATAGTTTTTGGGTTGTTTATTTTCCAAATACTTGAAAAACGGCAATAATGACTTGCTTCATTCATGGGACAAATTAAGACAGGAATTACTACAGTGCTATCTGCTGCACCACAGCGCCGAGCTGGCACAGCAAGAGGAAACCAAAGCTGCCAAGACAAAGCAAAGGTGCTCTGGGAATCTTCATCCTACTTGTTGCCCCTGCGCCTTCCCAAATTTTACCAAGTAGCAGATGTGCAGAGCATTGTATTCTGCAAGGAAGAGGAGATGCCCAGAGCCAGTTTTGCTAGGTGCAATGGGGTGGTGGGAAGCCCAGCAGACAGCACAAGCTGTTAACACAAACAGAGCCAGGACACAGGCTTGGAGAAAGGAGGACGCAGACCAGAGCGTACACAGCGTGAGGGGTGAGAAGCCCAACTGCTAAAGAAAAGGAAGAGGAAAAATTAAAAATAAAAATCAGGTCTCAACGTAAAAAGTCTGCACAATCAGTGGCTCTCATGTGGAAATCACCAAGAAGAATTATGGCAAATATAATTGCTTTGCACTGACGCCCTTTGCAGGCACAATTCTGCCTTGAGGTTTCAAAGCAACGTAAGCTAAACCACATTAAACAATATCTTAAACATTCATATTCTAGCTCTTCACAATTCTCAGAAAATGTAGCAAAATCTCATATGTACAATGCTGATTAAAGGACAAGAGACCAATAAACAAATAATTGATAGGTAATAAGAAGAGAAAAGACAGGACAGCCTGAAGGTAGAAGAAGCCCTGCCCAACTAAGACTGTACTCTATAAATACAAACAGCTCACAAAGTCCACCCACATTAATCTATGCTTAACCCACAGGTACAAAGATATTTTTTCTAGTCTTTTAAGTGGCATGTCATCCAGTCTCATAGGAGACTGTCATCCAATCAGCAGGTCTCCTATCAAACCTACACCCATGAACAACATTTAATTACCACGTTCAGTTGATCTTGTTAACTGTCACAGTGGACAACTTTGATCTTGTCTTCTGATAACTAGGTTTGGACTACAAAAGAAGCAGGGATTTTGCATAATTGCCAAGCCTTTCAAAGTGTGTTTTTTTAAATTCACCCTATTTCTCAATTTCCTTTTCTAATTGTATTGCACTAACATTAGCTCTACAGAGAAGGCAGTCAAAGCAGTATAGAAAATACAGGAATTAAAAAAAAAAAGAA